CAAAACAAAACAAAATTTCATTCATAGTAGAAAACAATATTTTGCTAACTATGGTGAAAGGATCAAAGGCAAATCTGTTTGTGAGAAATTGAGTGGAGAGCTCATTTCTCTGCCTGAAGGGCTTGACTGCTCCATACTCCAAAAGTGAAGATTGTTTTCTATTGTAAACTGGGACTACAGAAGGCACCATTTCATTCTAGAAGGACCACACTGAGTACTTGACCCCAGGATCCATTGCTAGCCATTCACCCCTTCCACAGCCCGTTTTCCTTCCTACAGGATCAATCTGAGGGTGTTCTCCAGGAGAGAATATACAATGCCAAGCTCTGTGCAGCCAAATCCTGAGGAACTGAGCAATTTTGGTGGCATCATAGCCAGGTCAGGGTATGAACGAATGGACAGAGAGTAGGGTATAGAGTCATGTCATAAAGAAAGATAGAAGGAAGCCCACAGGATAGGACACTGGAAGACTAAATTTTAAAGGGGGAGGGGGGGATGATGATGAGAGACCACGAAGACTTGAGTCCTGCTTCTGATGGAAAAAATAAGTAACAGAAGCAGCAATCCACTGAGCGGTCACATGTTGGAGCCCTGAGCTCATATCTGGCTTCACTGGAGCTCACCACAGCGGGAAGGAAGTGTGCTAGTGCAAAATCAGTGGAGTTGTTGGGAGGGAAGGAGGGTGAGGAAGGGGGGGGAATCATCTAGTGACTAGACTAGATCCCCTTCTCAGTACTCAGTACTAATACTCATTTAACTCAATATGATTGTGATGGACTTCAACTGTGCTATAAGAAATTATGAGCTCAGTGATCTTAGAAAAACATGGATAGACTTGCATGAAATAATGAAGAGTGAAATGAGCAGGACCAAAAGAATATTGTATACAGTAACGGCAATATTGTTTTAAGAACAACTTTAAGCAACTAAGTCTTTTTGACTACAAATACCCAAATTAACTACAAAGAATATATGAAGGAAGATGCTTATCTGCATCCAGAGAAAGAACTGATAAATAGAAGTATGTATAGAATGATTTTACATATATATCTGCATTTATACATATTTGTGTCTAATGATAGCCATCTCTAGGGTGGTGGAGGGTGGGTGAGGGAAGAAAAGGAAAAAAAAGAAATGTATATGATAACTTTATTACATATTGGTTATATATTTAAAACAAAAAGATTTGCAGTTACATGTGCAATCATCTTTTTTTATTACATTACGTTATGGAAATGCTTATTTTATTCCACAAATTAAGAATAAATAAATTTTTTTCAACATTTCTAAGTGAACACACTGTGACTGCATCTACACATGCTAAGCAAGTGGTGAAATGAAGTTTTTCCAACCCCTAAAGTCAATCGAAGAATGGAATCACAAAGAATAGGACAGAACTGAAAAACGACTGAACAACGAAGTCCATTTAAAAGGGCAGCTAGGTGATGCCATAGTGCACAGAGCCCCAGGCCTGGAGTCAGGAAGACTCATCTTTCTGAATTCAAATCTGGCCCCATTCATTTAC